GGGACTATAACCCTATATAACCCTAATATACTATAGTAGTTTCCATTTTCTTTTCCATTCTCCCTATACAACCCAAATAATATACCCCCTATAATTCTATCTACTTAAGGGGGACTAAACACCTAAGCCATGAGGGCGGCCGGATCTCTGGATGCTCAAAGAAGCTGGGTTGCTGTTAAGGAACTTAAATTAAGTTACCATAATGGGTATATATGGTAAATAATAGGGTTTCCCCAATATAGTAACTTAATTCAAGTTCCTTAACAGCAACCAAGAATCGTCACGGTGTAGAGACTGAGGATCTGTAGCTTGGATTCGATATTTAGGTCCGGATGTCGGACCCTTCCATACAGAAATGAATCCTGAACTTATGGAAGTGACACCTATAGAATCCTTGGCAGGAAACCCCTCATGATCCTCACACATCGCGGGAAGGACAAGCCTAAACTTCGAACCGTACTTCTAGAGTAAGGGGGACGCAGTAATTCTACTCGTAACAACTTTGAATCATGTAGTAACCCCAGTTATGCCCAATAGTATTTAGGTCAATACTTACGAAGCCTCCTGTCCCCTCCCCCTAATATTAACCCCCTCCCACCCCCCACCCTCCCCAATTTTGAATACTCCCATCATGTGATATATTATAATAGATTGGGAATATTTAGCATTAGGGAGGGTGGGGGGCTTACTATTATTAGATACTCCCATTCTGTGGTATACTAATATTAGGGGGGTGGGGGGGGTTCATAATAGGGAAGGGGATTACACATCAGGCAACCCCTGTCCAAGGCCCCGTCGCAGTGAACTGGGACATGACCTCATCTTCTGGTTTTGGGGTTCAGGGCTAGGACCCTAGACCCTAAACTCTAAACCCTAAACCATAAACTCTAAACCCTAAACCCTAAACTCTAAACCCTCAACCCTAAACCCTAAACTCTGAAATCTAAACCCTAAACCCTCAACCTTTAGGGATGAGGGTTTCGGGCTTGGCGCTCGGAGCTCAAGGAAAATCAAGGTTCCAGGTTGAGGGCTTGCGGGATGGGGTTTCAGGCTTCAGGGCTTCAGGGCATAAGGTTCAGAGTCAGAGGTTTTGGGGTTGTTTAGGGATGGGGCCTTGCCCGCGGACAAAGCTACAGCATCAGATTCACTGGATTCATACCCGCACCCCCTGATGTTGCAAAACCCACCCTAAACCCTAAACCCTACACCCTAAGTATGATAAAACACCTAGAAGCAACCTTGGTGATGAGTATGTGGGTATTAGGGTTATATTGGGGTTCTGGATAATAGAAAAGAAAATGGAAACTACTATAGTGGGTTAAAAAGGGGTTATATAGGGTTTAATATAGGGTTACATTGGGTGGTTGTCAAAATTACGGTCCCTTTTTGGATACCCTAAATATTAGGTGCCGTATTATAATAGGGACCGAAAAAAGGACCGGAATATTGACAACCACCCATGTGTTTCAAGGGCTTTGTGCAGTCATGGTCCCCATACCTATGACCCGTGTGAGCTTAGGTATACAATAGAGAGCCTGACATGACTCCGAGGTTTTGAAATTAGAGCATGCGGCCTCGGTGTTGAAGACGTCCCAATTCTTGAACAGCTGCTCAGCATCCGCCTGGCGCAATGTTCTGTTTGGTTTAGGGTTTAGGTTTTAGGGTTCAAGTTCAAAGTGATTTAGGCTTCAGGGTGTTGAGTGTCAGGCTTAGGGTTGTTGAGGGCTTGGAACCAGGTAACATCCTGTAGCCCATTGACAGTTGCTATGACGGAGAACACAATTGTTGCAAAATATCCCTACCCGGCTGCCCATGGTGGCATAATTTGACAGCGACACTGGGTTCACAAGGCAACAACGAAGCGACTAAGAGAATCTGCACCCTGAATCGCCTCGCCCTGCATTTACAACCTCTGAGGGGACTTGATCTCTGAACCCAAGTGAGCCATTGTCTAAACTCATAGCATCCCCCCTAATAACCCCTATAATAGTCCAGAATATGATCCCTATATAACCCCCTTTGAGGAGTTTAGACTATAGCTCAAATGCTTCTCTGAAATAAATCACAAACACAAACGCAATCCCTGGACCCTGAACCTGCCTGAACCCCAATTCCTAACCCTGAACCTCAACTCCTACAACCTGTAAGCGCCAAGCCCTGAACCAAAATCCAACACCCAACAAGCCTGAAAGCCTGAACCCAAAACACTAAACCCTAAACCCCTGAAGACTAACAACATCCTGAAACCTCAAACCCTGAATCCTACAACTTAACCCTAAACCCTAAACCCTAAACCGTGTTAGTTTCAGGCGGCCTTGCTTATGTCAGGGGGTCGTTTCCGATCACTGCCGCTTCCAGGGAGGCGGACCTTGCCAATATGTTATATTGGGGATTAGAATAATGGAAAAGAAAATGGAAACTATAGGGGTTATAGGGATTCTATAGGGGTTGTACAAGGATTACAGGGTATATGTTGGGCATTATATTGGGACAGGTTCGTGGGTGATCCTGGGTGACCCCCCCGAGCTTGCTATATCTCAACTCCTAGATGCCTTCAACAGGTCGGGATGGCAAACAAGCACAGAGGGTCCCTTTTCAAGCGCACGAAGAGATGTGTATACGCTTCCTCCTTCATTGAGAGCATATTATGCGCGCTTACGGAATCAACGTTTGCTCGGAAGCTGACCCTGAAAGTTACACAAGGTCAGAATGGATTTACGCTGGCATGTCTTGCCTCTTCAAGTCTTTGCTCAGAGACCGTGCCTGCAGGAAACTCTCCCACTACTAGGGAAAAGGGGAATATACTATATAGGAAGTACATGTAGGCGCCATATTCCCTATGTACCCCTACATCACCCCTAAACGTAGTAGCTTGCATGTCATTCTCCATCAAATTAGTCATTATTAGTAGAGACTATATTCCTTTATTCCCTACTAAGCACCAGTAATTCAGACTAAGCAACACCAAACCTAAAACCATAAACCCTAAATAGTAGTTTCCACTTTATTTTCCATTATCCCTATAAAACCCCAATGTAGCCCTAACATTACCCCAATGGGGTCAGTAAAACCAAGCCCAAAAAAACAGCCACCTTTAGCTGCTGCTGCTCTCGCCGCGCTTGAGTCGGCGAGGTCACTGCCTCTGCCACCAAAAGCTCGATGGGATTTTCTCTAAGGGATTTGGAACCCCAGTAGAAATTACAATTTCAGCTAAATATTAGGATTGTTGGTAACAGAAATTCACAATTATTTTCAGGAACCTTGTGGTTTTAGGGTCTAGGTTTAGGGTTCTGACCCTCAGAGTTCAGAGAGGAGGCTATGGAGCATACAGAGCTTAAGAGTTTGTTGGGGAGTGGGCAGGGTTTAGCAACAATGGTAAGAAGCGGGGACAACAAAATGCGAGCATAGCAAATTGCTACGCCCCATGCACCAAACTCTGACACCCTAAATGCAAAATCCTGAACCTCAAGCTGTGAATCCTAAACCCTAGACCCTAAACCCTATCAATCCCAAAAGATCCCTAAACCCTAGACCCGAAACCGTATCAGTCCCAAAAGATCCCTAAACCCTAGACCCTAAACCCATCTAACCGGAAACTGCGAGTCTCCGAGCCTGCCCGGGGGAGCTTTGTCGCGGCTGGCCCCTCAACCGCTGCTTGCCGGGCCCTTGCCAGGCAGTTTAGGGTTTAGGGTCTGGGGTTTAGATTTTACGGTTTAGGGTCTGGGGTTTAGGGTTCAGTGTCTAGGGTTTAGATTAAGGGTCTAGGGTTTCGGGATTTGGGTCTAAGGGCTACCGAACCCCAATAAACTCAAGTCTTATAGGTTACACCTACGACTTAGAAGTAATTATTACTCAGCTGTAGTAACTGGGGTTACAGGTACCTGCAAGGTCAGGGCGACTTAGTAAGTATACGTACACGGAACCTCTACAATCTACAAGCCAACGTAAGCCCTTCATAGCCACTATGCTTTCATCTACTTGCAAATTCGCAAGGCCAAGCCCACAACCCCCAACCCCATTTTTCCAATCTTCAACCCTAAGCTTCACATAAATCCTCAACCCTAACCCCGAATCCCAAGCCCTCAAGCCTCAACCCTAACCTCAAACCCAACCTTAATGCTTAAGCCCCAAACCCTAAACCCCGAGCCCTGAAGCCTAAACCCTAAGCCCTCAACCCCAAACCCAACTCTGAACCCTACGCCCACCCTTTATCAACTTCAGTATTTAGAACCCCAATTACCTACAAGCTTATAGGTTATCCCTACTACTTATGAAGGAATACTCCCTACTCCCTAAACCCTAAACCCTAAGCCCTAAACCCAACAGCCTTGAACCTTAAACCCCTGTATGTAAGTAGTGGCCATTGGCCAAAAGTTAAAGGGCATTGGCCACTTTGGGGGCTTAAGGGTTCAGGCTTTAAGGTTCGGGCTTTAGGGTTCGGGCTTTGGGGTTTGGGCTTTAGGGTTCGGGCTTCGGGGTTCGGGCTTCGGGATTCGGGCTTCGGGGTTCGGGCTTCAGGGTTCGGGCTTCAGGGTTCGGGCTTCAGGGTTCAGGCCTTAGGGTCCAAACTTCAGGGTTCAGGCTTTAGGGTTCGGCAGGGTGTGGGCTTAAGGTTTCGGGGTTCGACTTAGGATTCGGCTTTAAAGTTTGTATTTAGGACTTGCGTTTAGGATTAATGGATCGCTTTAGAATTTTTCTGCTGCGGGACCCAAAATGCGGGTGGGTATATTGCTGTTGCTTGGGGGATCTGCTTATTCAATGAATATTGCACTTGAGATGCTGAACCCTAAAAACCCTTAAACCCTAAAGCCCTGAAACCCTTAAACCCTAAACCCTAAAACCGTAAAACCCTAAAGCCCTAAAACCCTAAACCCTTAAACCCTAAACCCTTAAACCCCAAAGCCTTAAAAGCCTAAACTGTAAAAGGCAAAGCCAGCAGCCTTGGCAAGCTCCAGCAGGGACCGGCATGGCCTGCAACCTCAGGGCCCCAAAGAATGTGCTTGCTGAGGGTTTAGGGTTTAGGATTTAGGGTTTAGGGTTGAGGGTTTAGGGTTTAGGCTTTAGGCTTGCTGCGAAGGTTTAGAGGTTAGGGTTTAGGTTTTTTGTCTTCTAGGAGATATAGGAATTCTATAGGGATGTATGAGGAGATATGGGGATTAATATAAGGATACATGCGGATATTTGAGAATATGCAGGGATACTGAACGATATACAGGCATATCATCCTCCAAAAGGGCGCATCAAATTGAAAGGAGAATGGAAATGAAATGGAAACTGGATTGCATGAGGCTTTTTATGCCCGGGGGCCCAAGTATAAACCCCAACATTTCATGATCCGCATGATAGGGAATCCCGAGAAGGGTGCCTAATTTTCGGAGACTCTCATGTAGGTTGGTTAGGGATTTGGGGCTGTCAGGGGCTTCAAAGCCTACATGAAGGCAGTAGCCTCCATAGCAATGGGAGCGCATTCGCACAGTAATGCAAACAATGAACAAAACAAGAAGGCAACGCTTTCTCCAAGCCTTGCAACATGCAAAGCTGGAAACCCACTTCCATCTACTTCGCAGCAATCCGAAAAAGGAGACCCTAGCCCGATTTCTCTGGCCGGAACTCATCGGTCTAGCTGGACAGCGACTATAGAGAAGCCACTGCCAAAAAGCTGCCAACCCAAAAAGGAGGATATGATCTTACCCTGTACTGGGTACCATAGTATCCCCAGATGAAATGCTACTCATTTGGGGTCAGGGTTTAGGGAACTCCGGAGCACTACTTACAGTAACGTGGCCTTGGACTTGGCCGAAGGCTGCCCTGTGACATCTATAGCAGGGGTCAAATAGAGGCACACCCAAATCACCCTCATATACTGCAATCCTTATCTTCGGCACTTCTCAAGAGGCACCCCCAATTTGTGGTGAAGCTCCCGAAGGCGAGGCAAAAATGGGGACCCAATTGCCCAGACCCCCTAGAGGATCCAAAAAATGGAACCCTCGAATATGAACCCATTACTACATTGGGGAAACAAAGGGATTATTAGGGGGCTTCTTTTTTGGGATCCTAAACCCTAAACCCTAGTCCCTATATAGACCCCTATAAACCCCTTTAAGGGGTTCCATGTTTTGGATCCTTTAGGGGGTCTGGGTACCAGTCCCGCTTGGGTGCCCGGCTCTGGCGATGGCTCTCGCGAAGCGGTCTGGGATGTAGAGCTTGGGGCTTAGGGATAGCCGTTTAGGATTTAGGGCTCAAGGATAAGCTTTAGGATTTGAGGCTTAGGGATAGCGGTTTAGGATTTGGAGCTCAAGGATAAGGCTTAGGATTTGAGGCTTAGGGATAGCGGTTTAGGATTTGGGGCTCAGGGATAGCGGTTTAAGATTTGGGGCTTGGGGATAAGGGAATTGGATTTGGGGCAGTAGGAATTGAACCTTGAACCCCGAGCCGTCAACCCCAAGTCCTCAACCTGCGTCCCTGATGCTTGCAACCCTAACTCGGGCTGTAGAGGGTTGAGGGTTAGGATGTACTTACTGGGGGTCAATAGGGAATAAGAAAATATAGTATATATGAGCATTATATAAGGATTATCTTCCCTTGTGGGGAATAACGGAATATAATGTTGTGTGAGGATTAAATATGGAATAAAATATGAGGATTATATTCCCTTCTTGCCTACTGACAATCAAGAAATTTAGGGTCCAAGGCTTATGTTTGCCGAGGTTTGGGGCTAAGGATGTTGGGAGCCTTCTCTCAAGCATAGACCTCAAAATTGTGGGTGGATCTAAAGACGACCCCTCACTCTGTAACAGTGGTATAGTAGAAAAGTAATAGGACCCTACTATAATCCCTATCATCCCTTACAGTCACCATTGCAGGGTGGGGATTCTCCTAAGGTAGGTAGATCTTTTTCGAAACAGCGGCTGCACTACTAAGGTTGACTATATGGGACGATAGAGAAAACCAGTTGCAACTTGAATGCTTCCCTTCATTGCTTCCAACTTTTATTATAGGGATGATGGACAATAAAATGGAAACTACCATAGTGGGGTTGTATGCGGTTTAAACTTTTGAGCGATGACCGCCTCAGCTAGTTAGGGCACAAGCTCCCCAAGGGTTCTTGTCAGCACTACTGGTTCGAGCCTTCGTAGTGCAATTGCAGCCCTTTCTACTAAGAAAAGGGTGAAGCCGAAACCTGAGTGTTTAGGGCCTGAAACTGATCTGTGTGCAATACTTCAAGGGTTTCTGTGACATGGACATTGAAGGAGTTGAGGCGTCCGATGTGGAGTTGCACTTAGGTTGCGGGAGGTGGGATTGCAACATATTGGGGTTATATAGGGATAATGGAAAAGAAAATGGAAACTACCATAGTCGGTTGTACAGGGATTTTAAGGTATATATTGGGGTTATATTTAAGCCTGAATTGGACCAATAAAAGCCTGCAGCATTGAGGCTTCTTAAGTTCAACACAGCCTGACGAACAAAATGGGCAGGGCCTGCGCAGAAGCCGGAAACCCTGAGGGACATCAACTCCATTAGCCCAGCTCTACCGAATCCACATGCTCGAGCGCAGGCTGTGAGGATGGGTCTTAAAGTAAAGGTGTAGGGATTAGGCACAATCTGAAGAAAAAGGTGAATATGGGGACCTCGAAGAGAGACGATGCTCTTGAGACAGCCTCAGATTACAAATTCAGCAGCCTTGAAATCCGACAACCCATGAACCCAAGCAAGCAGCCTCACGCGAGCTCTCGGTCTTTTGCCGATCTTCGCTCGCTGCCTCTTGGGAAACCATGAGACTGGGATTTAGGCTCTACGTTTATTTGTTTGGGGGTTTTGGGCTCAGGGCGTAGGGGTCCAGACATTTGAGGTTTACGCGGACATTCTGTATAGCTTGGCTTGTGCGTGCTGCAGGAAAGTGGTCTCTCGATTCGTCGCCAGCATACCTGGCTGTAGCCGCCAGCACCCTTGTGTAAATGTCTCTGTCCGCATTTACCAGATAAAGCGGGTTCTCTGCGTCCCCATCAGGAAAGTACAAGGCTTGTGCAGGGAGGTAGGGGTCCTCTTTGGAGAAATGCCTTTATGTAGTATCTACACATACCTCTAGAACCACTGAAGGCTCTGTTCAAAGCGCACGCCGATCACGCTTAACCTGGCTGTCCATGATCTGGGCAGGTCAAGAATGTGGAGTTTAGGGTTAAGGGTGTAGGGTTTAGGGTTTATGGTTTGGGGTATGGGGTATGGGTTTAGGATTTTGGATTTAGGGTTTTGGGTCACACCCACTTGAAGTGCCAGCCTGCAAGGCATCTGCAACACATGAGGCAATCATATCGGATCATACAATGCTGAAATGCCAAACCCCAAACCCTGTCTTTCTTAACATCGAAGAAGATACAAAATTGAGTCAACTGAGACAAGTGATGCAGTGCTATTGTCTAGGTAGGTAGGCATATTACGAAAGACTGGTGTTGTCTATCATGGTGAGGATCTCGAAAAGTTCAAATGGTTGCCACTTGAGTTGTTCCCTCCCTAGGTTTCTCCTTCTTGCGCCTCTCGACGTGGAACCTGAACCAAAAACTCCCAAGAGTGAATCCTGGTCCCACAGGTCCTGCACGCCGTCGCAAAGTCCATAAGTTCAGGTTTTGGGGTTTAGGATATACCTTCCACATCACTCATATAGAGGTTGAGATTCGCGCGCAATGTTAAGTCTCTCGGCATGGATGTTCGGCAGCGACCCTAGGGATGTAGAGGGATCACAAGGAGATCATTCGTGACCCCCTCAGAAAAGCCCATTCAATGACGAAAGACCTGCGTTGGAGAGGCTGATCGCGCTCTTCGCTGGCTGGCACACACGCTCCTCAAAGAGAGCCCGGAACTTTGGGGGCTTGAAGGTTTGCATGTTTAAGAACCAAAGCTTTAGAGTTACGCGGTTGGGGGCTGCCGTTGATAGCTCAGATGATTGGCTGCGTCTGGCGTGTCCTTTCACATTGCAACTGCTTGTGTTAGGCTTTTTTCGTCTAACACTGGTACCGCCTCGCTTCTCAACAACTGTGATCATTACTACATACATCTATCCGACTGCAATGCTATTTCGCAAGGGCATTCCTGAAAGTTCTAAGCCTCGACAATCAAGTTCGAAAGCATGGTTGGGGGCTGCATCAACTTTACTGGTGAACAGTCGGCTATACTTCAGCTTTGGGCCTAAACCTTTGTAAGACCTATCCCAATTGCCCCCAATGGCATTCGGATCTTTTGCACTGGCTTCCTAGCAGGCTGTTGAAGTTGAAAGAAGAGGCAATCAGGAAAAAGGAGCCCGGCCAAAGCCTTCATCAAAGCAAATCATGTTTACACTTGGCATTTGTTTTGTAGGAGAAAGCAGTACAAGCACCGATGTGAACAACAATAGCTTTAAAACCTGGTCTGAAGGTCAGGCAAATTCGAGACCCCGCCTCCGTCAAGCCTTGTACCCTCAATCAAGGCTGTACAGTGCTAGGTCTCGGGTTCACGTATGAGGCTTGCCAGCCTTGGGGGCGGGTATTTACAAAAAACGATAACTGACCTTTTAAGTTTCAGGACAGTCCTATATTAGGAACACATGTCACAGTTGGGTTGCACTCGCCCGTGTAATCACGTTGTCCACGCTCATAGAGGTTGCTTAGCACACACGTTGACCTATAAGCCCACTTCCAACTCTTGTCCAGCCATCATAATTTGAAAGATTGCTGAGAGTACTGTGATGCACCAACGCCCAATGCCGAAGAACGCATGAGCATGGTGCAAACAACACGATGACCCAAGACTTACATAATAAACCACAAACCCGTACACTTTGAAAATCCCATGTAAACCATTCCAGTGAACCCTAAACCACAAACCTGTACACCTTGAAAATCCCACATTCCCAACCTAAACCCTCAACCCTAAACCCTATATTGAAACCCCACAGCCACAGCATTGAGTTGCGGACGCCAGCTTTGCAGAGGAAGTCGTGGGGCGGACGGTGGCCCTGAGCAAGTTGAAGGGTTTAGGGCTTATAGGGTTTAGGGTTTGGGGTTTAGGGTGTAGGGATGTGTAGGGTGTAGGGTTGAGGGCTTAGGGTTTAGGGGTTAGGGTTTAGCGCTTAGGGTTTAGGGCTTACGGGTATGGAGCCTCTTGTAGGAAGCTATATGAGCCACAGTCAATACTCCTTCTACAGCTAATGGACATGAGCCCTTATTAGGGAATATATTAGGGACTATATTAAACTAAACTACAAAAGAGGAGAGTCTCATGTCCACCCTTAATGGTCCCTTGGTATCCCCAGTATTGACAATGGCTCATATAGGGGCGGTACAGCAACATCTAGGGGTATGTAACTTTGCAGGTTTACGCTCCCTTCCAGATAAATAGACAATGACAAAAAGAGTAAGCACGTTGTCTCCCTTGAAAATGACAGTAGCCATGACCGTGGCTGACCAAAGCCTCTCAACCACACCTAGAAAAAAACACGGGGCCCGTCCATTCGATTCCCCATGGTCCGGGTAGAATCCCTAATGGTTTGAAAGCCTCAACCCTTTGCATCCCTATGCACGCCCCATAAATCCAAGAAACCTAAACCCTAAACCCTCAACCCCGTGAAAAAAAAAGAAACTGCATGATGCGGCTCACTGCTGTGATTGGGCCTACCCGGGCCTACCCCGAACTTAGACCCCCACTTTTTGGGAAACCCCAATCCCTTTCAACCATCTGAGCTTTAGTCTAAACTTCTTAAATTGAGCTTCTATAGGGACTATATAGGGGACTGCTGTATGGGGTATTCAGGGGGATACTAGGAGTTGAAACCCTAAACCCTAAACAAAAAACCCTAAACCCCAAACCCTTTATCATAGGGGCTATTAATGGGGTTACTATGGTGGATACTAAAAATCCTGCATGACCTTGGGTACCTTACACCTTGGGAATAACGGAACTATAGTATATTAAGGTCATGCAGGATTTCTAGTATCACCCTGAAACCCTAAGCCCTGAACCCTAGACCCCTTATCATAGGGGCTAGGATACTAGGAGTTTCGACTACAGCTCATCTCAGCTTCCGTACCCGCGCCTCGATCGCATAGGGGGCGAGGCTGACCTGAAGTAAAGGGGGCTCTGGGGTTGATGTAATGGCTTATTTATACTGTAGGGTTTAGGATTTACAGTTTAGGGCTTACAGTTTAGGGTTTAGGGTTTAGGGTTTATAGCTTAGGGTTTAAGGTTTATAGCTTAGGGTTCAATAATTTCCCCTCTCTTTTTCCATTCTACGAACCAAAGCCTGTATATCCCCTATACAACCCCGGTTAAAGGGCCCTATGTTGCCGAACCCTGTCGGTCATAGGGTCTACAGGTAGACCCTCAGCCCTAGATCTTTTGTAGCCTCCGGAATTTCGATGGTAAAGAGAATGGAAACTACTATAGTATCTACGGTTTGGGTTTAGGGAAAAAATGCAAACCCTATACCCTGAGCCCCAAGCCCTGAACCCGAATTCCGATACCGCCCCACCTGGGCCCCGCCAGCACCCTGGAGCGCGTGAGGGGCGTGGCCTCCAGCGTTTAAGGATTTAAGGTGTAAGGCTTAAGGGTAGGGTAAAAAAAACCTTAAGGTTTACCGGTTTTAGGGCTGGCGGCTCAGTTTCCATAAATGGAGGGCCCTAATCTAGACCCCAAGACACGTTACTGCATTGTGGCAATTTTTTCATTCTAACGACTATGACAGATGCACCAGATCTGCAAACACCCTTAGTGCTCATATAAAACAGCAGAGTAATGAAACGCAGCATTACATGACCACAATGAGAACAACTGCAATCACAGTATTCACACAACAAACCTGGTGAGAAAATGTTGGAGCTGCTGGCGTCAAAAAGCTCTACCTCGTGCAATCTGCAATCTTTCAATACCTTCAGCCAAAACGCATACAAGAAGATCAAGCTATGATATTAAACATCACTGTGAGGAACCAGCTGGCCCCCTACAACACCCCAACGTAAACCAGGCAAAGTTCTGCACGTGAGCCCTAAACATGGGTCAGCAGTGCCGTTGTCATGAAGCAGGGATAGAACCCAAGAAGCTTAAACCCCAAACCCTAAGCCCTGCCACACCTAAGACGGGAATTGCAAAAACCTCCAACTCCAAGCTTGACTCCCTTTGCCAGCCCTGGGGTCTACAGTCTGCTTAGGCTTACGTATTTAGGGCTTGGGGTTTAAAGTTTAGGTGTAGACCGCAAGTAAGTTGAAGGTAGCTCAGCATACCTGTCCCTTCCTAGCATGCTGAAACCTAAAAACCTGAAGTCATCCCAAGGGCGAGGTCGAGCTCCGTGAGCCCCAAAATGGCATGCATACACTTAGATGGCCAAGCCCAAGACTTTGGTTGAGAGAAGGCATCCCTACTGCTAAAATGAATCAAAAGGGTGCTTACCACGTCTCCCATGTATTATGAAGATTTCTCTAACATATACAGTGTCTGCATATCACAGAAAACCTTGGCACTCAGAATTGGGACCTCAAAACGACCCACATGTGTTGACATCTTTCAAAGGCTCAGAGGCTCCCTAAATCCAGAACTCGAGACCATTCTCTCAAGGCGATCGCCTTGGAACCTGCGCCGTCTTTGCGGCGAGCCTAAGGATTTGCCGTTCAAGGCATTGGGTGTCGGGTTTCAAGCTGAGATGTTTTAGGGTGTTGAATTTCGAGTTTAAATCTACTCGTGGCTAGATTATCTTCTGCACTACACGTTGGCTTCTAAAGGCTGCGCTCGGGAGGTTTG